TGCCCTTCCACCATGGGGTCTACTGTGCTGGCAAAGTGAGGATTGATGGGACTCAGAGAGCAGCACAGGCAACTTCACCAATAAGATACATTTCCAGCTGGGCCCAGTGGCTCATGCCTGTTATCCGAGCACTCTGGGAGGTCCAATCCGTGCAGTCCATGCCCTACTGTCACCTCCCTCCCCTCTGCTTGGCCGTGGCACGGAACTGAAAGACAGGGTAGGAGGAATGAAGGAACAGGAAGGGCATGGAACAGCTTCATTAGAGACTAAAACAGTGTCAAATGTCACCACCTTAAAGTTCTTCTTATTTATTTATTTTTTTAAAGACAGAGTCTCACTCTGTCACCCAGGCTGGAGTACAGTGGCGCCATCCCGGCTCACTGCAACCTCCGCCTCCTGAGTTCAAGCGATTCTCCTACCTCAGCCTCCCAAGTACCTGGGATTACAGGCACACACCACGACACCCGGTAATTTTTGTATTTTTAGTACAGACAGGATCCCATCATGTTTGCCAGGTTGGTCTCAAACTCCTGGCCTCAAGTGACCCACCCACCTCGGCCTCCCAAAGTGCTGGGATTACAGGGGTCAGCCACCGTGCCCAGCCTCCACCACTTTTAAGTTCTACCCTACACCTGTTAAACTGTCGATCTAAACAGAAATCTTTCTTTTTTTTTTTTTCTTTTTTTTTTTGAGACAGAACCTCACTCTGTTGCCCACGCTGGAGTGTGGTGGTGCCATCTCGGCTCACTGCAACCTCCGCCTCCCAGGATCAAGTGATTCTCCTGCCTCAGCCCCCTGAGTAGCTGGGATTACAGGCATGAGCCACTGTGCCCTGCCTAGAAACCATTTTTTAGTCTGAAAAAAAAAAAGTGAGAAGCCAGCAGGCAGGATAGTAAGGTCCACTTACGCAGTGTCATGTTCCTATGAGTGGATTTGGTCTTCAGGGGGAAACTAGACAAGCAGGAGACAAGATCACCCGCACCTGCTGATCTCTTTCATTCTATTCATTTGCTTATTCACTCACTTGTTCAATCAGTAAGCATTTGTTAAAGACCTAGTATGTACCAGGCAGTGTTCTAGGCGCCTGGAACATAGCAGTGGGGGGAAAAATTCATGAAGCCTTTATTAAAGTGGAGGAGTGGCCGGCACAGTGCCTTAAACACCTGTAATCCCAGTACTTTTGGAGGCCAAGGTGGGCGGATCACCTGAGGTCAGGAGTTCGAGATCAGCCTAGCTAACATGGTGAAACCCCATCTCTACTAAAAATACAAGGAAAGTAGCCAGGTGTGGTGGCAGGCACCTGTAATCCCAGCTACTCTGGTGGCTTAGACAGGAGAATGGCTTGAACTCAGGAGACAAAGGTTGCAGTGAGCCGAGATGGTGCCACTGCACTCCAACCTGAGCGACAAAGCAAGACTCCATCTCAAAAAATAAAAATAAAATAAAATAAAGGAGTGAGACAATAAACAACTGAATGGGTAAACTCATAACATGCCAGAAAATGAAAGATACTATGAGGAAGAGTAACGCAGAGCAAGAGGAAGGAGACGAGGGTGTCTGTGTGTGCGTATGTACATGAGCGTGCATGTACGTGTGTGCACACTCTTGGGGACAGCATGGTCATAGAACACCTCATGGAAAAGGTAACCTTGTGCAGAGACCAACAGGAAGTGAAGGAAAGAGCTACATCGATATTTACAAGAATATTCCAGGCAGGAAGAAGAGCCAGTGCAAAGGCCCTGAGGCAGAAGTGGGTTTGGTGTATTTGCAGAACTGCATGGAAGTCAGGGTGGCTGGAGGACAGGAGAGTGGGAGCCTACGGGATCAGAGAGGCCACCGAGGGCCTGGTAGGTCATCAGACACTCTCAGGTTTTAGAAGCTGTAAAGGGGGAGCCACTGGAGGGCCTGAGCAGAGAAGAGAAGTCATCTGACTTCCATTCAAAAAGGATCATTCTGGCTGCTGTGCTGAGAAAATGTGGGCGGGAGCGGGGAGAAGAGATGGGAGACTAGAGTGATCATTGAAAAGAGAGGATGACGGGGACACGCAGTTGAGGTAGTGACCAAGGGGTAGCAACCACTCCACATATTCCCAAGCTAGAGCTCATGGGATTTGCTGATGGACTTGAATGAGGGATAACAGAGAAAGACAGGAGCCAAGGATGACACCAAGGTTTGCGGCCCGAGCAGCAGTGGAGTTGCCATTGACTGTGACAGAGGACCCTGGGGAAAGACCACGTTTGGGATAAGTCAGGAGTTTTGTTTTGAACATACTAAACCGGAGGGAGCTAAGGAAAGAGCTCCCAAGGAGGGGAAGATCCCAACCGATCCAGTTGCAGAAAGATGTTCAGAACAGGGTTTTTGGTGGTTTTTTGTTTTTGTTTTTGACATGAAGTCTCACTCTTGTCACCCAGGCTGCAGTGCAATAGCACGATCTCAGCTCACTGCAACCTCTGCCTCCCGGGTTCAAGTAATTCTCTTGCCTCAGCCTCCTGAGTAGCTTGGATTACAGACACACGCCATCAAACCTGGCTAATATTTGTGTTTTTAGTAGAGACGAGATTTCACCATGTTGGCCAGGGTGGTCTCAAACTCCTAACCTCAGGTGAATTCACCTACCTCGGCCTCCCAAAGTGTTAGAATTACAGGCATAAGGCAGCACTCCTGGCAGAACAGTTATTTTTTAATAGTCTGAATGTTTTTTTATTTTTCTATCCAAGATTTTTTGCGTTAATTTTGTTGTTGCTTTTTGTTGGGGGCACAGAGCAGATACAGGCCCTTGCTGTGTCACCCAGGCTGAGCACAGAACAATCACAGCTCACTGCAACCTAGACTTTCTGAGATCAAGCAATCCTCTCACCTCAGCCTCCTGAGTAACTGAGACTACAGGTGTGCACCACCACTCCCAGTTAATTTTTATTTTAAAAATGTTTTGGTACAGTCAAGTTCTCACTGTGGTGCCCAGGCTGGTTCACAAACTCCTGGGCTCAAGCAATACTCCCACCTCAGCCTTCTGAGTAGCTGGGACTATAGGCATGCACCACCGCACCCAGCGGCTAAATTTGGGCTTTTTTTTTGTAGATACAATGTATTAGTCCTTCCTCACACTGCTAAGAAAGACATACCTGAGACTGGGTAATTTCTAAAGGAAAGAGGTTAATTGACTCACAGCTCAGCATGGCTGGGGAGGCCTCAGGAAACTTACAATCACGGCAGAAGGGGACGGAAACACATCCTTGTTCACACAGCCGCAGCAGGGAGAAATGCCGAGCAAAAGTAGGGGAAAGCCGCGTATAAAACCATCAGATCGTGTGAGAACTCACTATCATGAAAACAGCATGGGGGTAACCACATTCACGATTCAATTACCTCCCACGACACGTGGGGATTATGCTACAATTCAGGATGAGAATTGGGTAGGGACACAGTCAAACCTTATCAGATGGGGTTTCACCACATTGCCCAGGCTGGTCTCAAACTCCTGGGCTCAAGTGATCCTCCTTCCTTGGCCTCCCAAAGTGTTGGGATTATAGTCATGAGCCACCATGCCTGGCCTGATCGTTTTTAATATAGATTGCATTAACATGTTTTTTATCGTGATGTCTGAGGTTTTGGGTGCCCCCTTAAGTTGTGCACCTGAGGTGAGTGCCTCACTCCCCCTTACCCTAGTCCCAGCCCTGTTCTTGGGAAACTGGAGTGCAGGGAGGCCCTGCTTTTTCAGCCACAGCCACAGAGCTCCTGTGTTTCTCCCCAGGCCTCCCTGCAATACACCTCCAATGGCAATTGGTACCACACCTGCGGAGGGACCCTGATAACCAACAACTGGGTCCTGACGGCTGCCCACTGCATCAGGTAACTGCCATTCCCTGGGCACTTGGCCTGCTCACCAGCTGGTGCTCATTTCTGAGCTGGGGGCTTAAATGGCCTGAACCACACTGCATAAAGCAGCCTTGCAAATAATCACTAGCCTGGCCAAGACACAAGCTATAGTCAATCAATGGTTCAGTGTGTTGGCCCATCAATGTCAGTACATGGCATAGATGGGGTGTCCTGTGCCAGGTACTGAGGGAGGATGAGGAGAAGGGGAAGGCCTAATCTCTACCCTCTTGGGGAAACTATATGTGGCCTCTGGATCTGGAATTGGGTTCCCTTGAGCAACTTGACTTCTCAAAGCCTCAATACCATCACCTGCAGAAAACAATGGAGTAACAGAATTTAGTGTGAATTCAATGAGTTGATTTACTAAAGGGCCTGGCACTTTGTAAGTGCCCAGTGAAAGCTAATTCTGAATTATAGACTAATTATAAAGGCCCACGAGGTTCTGCACCGTTGTTCACTTTTCCTCTTTGTTGTCCGTGACCGCTGCTCATCACAGCTGGAACTCACCGGGGCTTCTGCTGGGTCCGTGTGACTCCTTCCAGGAGTGATCCCTTCTCCCATCTAATTTATAATAAGCTCTAGGAGGTTTTAAGGAAAATAATAGAGGCCTACAGTTAGGAATCCTGGCTTCTCGTTCTGGTTTCTAACTAACGGTGGGACTCTGGGGAGGTTACGCCTCTCTGGGCCTCGGTTTCCCCATCTGAAAATGAAAGGTGGGAAAAATGTCCTTGAGAGCAAATAACTCCTGTTTTCTCTGTGTTCATCTCATTCCCTCCATAATACTATAGAGTTTGTGTTATTACAACATTTATTTTATATTATAGTCTACAGTTAGTATAGTAACAATTATTATATGATCATAGTTCTTACGTTACATACTTTAGGCTCTATTATAACTAACTGATTGTCCCAGGGGAGGAAAGATCCCCAAGCCCAAGCCCCAACTAGTGGCTCATGCAGCAGCCAGTTACTTGGGTCTATCCCAACATTATCCAAAGCCAGGCCTCTGGAGGTGACCCTCTCCCTGGGCCCCCTTTCTCCCAGCTCCTCCAGGACCTACCGCGTGGTGCTGGGACGGCACAACCTCAACATTGTGGAGTCCGGCTCGCTGGCCGTCAGTGTCTCTAAGACTGTGGTGCATCCGAACTGGAACTCCAACCAGGTCTCCAAAGGGTTCGTTACTGTCTGGATGCACTTCGGGATGAAGTTGTCAGGGAACACATGGGGGTCTCACAGAGGCAAGGGTCTCAACTCCACCACATGCCCTCTGCTTTTCTATAGGGAGGGAGAAGGAGCTCTGGTCTCTTAGTTGTGGAACCAGCTCCAAAGATGTCTCGGGTGGGGATGTGAACTGGGGAGGGAGAAGCAAAGACTGCCAGAGTGACCTGGGTTTGCTGCCAGTCAAGCCTGCAGGGCCCCTGTCCGCGGAGCACGTATCTACTTCATGCCAAGTCCTGGGGACACA